AAAAAAAAAAAAAAAAAAAACTTGCCTACTTTTGGGGGAAGGGTAGGGGGTCACGGGCTCCCTACCGTTTCCTACCAACTTCGTGCCGCGGGTCAAGGCCGTGGCTACACGCAAATTTCCATGAGTAGAAACAGCCATTTTCTGTTGCACTGCCGTCGGATGGGGAAGTTGGGGAAACCATATGGGATCCCCTTTTTTTCCAAAATGCTCTGATACTATGAACTGTGACTGTGGGATCAGGTACTTAGCTGTTTTCCACTCGTAGGTGTGCCTCCACGGAAGGAAGATCCATTTCTCAGTAGAAGAGCTGGTCCATCGGAAAGGGCCCACGGACGCAGAGCCCTCCAGGTCCATGTAATTCCGCAGTTTGTTCCCGCGATTCCGCCTCCTGGCAGGCCCGGAAATGATCACCAAGGGCCAGAGATCATCATCGTCTGGATTCCGGATCTCATCAGCGTTGGCCAGGTGCAACTGGCGGAGAAGGCGTTCGATGAAAATGAGAAACGACCGTTCGATGTCGACCTGCAGCGACCAAGTGGAGAAAGTGGAATTACGTCCTCTCCGCCGAGCGAGGGGTGACCTGCTTTCGTTTTGCCGGCGGACCTGCCTGCTGGCTAACTGGGGAGACCCCGAGGCTATAACTGGCCTCTGCCCCAAGGCTATAATTGGCCAGAAGAGGCAAGCACTTTGTCTCAGAGGTCAGGAGATCAAATCCGTCTACAGTTGCTCGCAGCCAACTGGCGACAACCTGTGTATCCACAGTGTTATGGCCCTGGGGTCAAGTCCCACAAGCAGCGTTTAGTTTCATCAACGTCCGAACGTGGGCGTGTTTGAGGACAGATGCAGAAAATCACGTTGAGTTTCCTCAACCGGACATCGCCACAAACATGTCCAGTTTCGGACGTTGAGGAAACTCACTCACTTGTGGGACTTGGCCGCTGGTCCCGGATCTGGCCCCACGGCGATCTAAAGCCGGAAGAGGGCTGAAGGCTGTGGCAGGTGGAGGACTGCCTGGGAGGTGATACACCCGACACTCAGGGAGGGAAACAAAAAACGAAAAGAAAAGGGAAACAAAAAAAAGAAAAGAAATAAAACACCTGACTGGTACTCACACCGGCGGGTAGGCGGCGAGGTCCGGCACGGCGTCTCCGAGGCTGTTGCTTGGTTTGGAGATGGGTCAGGAATAAGGGTCAGATCCCACTATATACCCTGGATTATTTATTTTTCACCCTCTGGATTATTCATTTTTCACCCTCGATTACGAAGATCAACGGTCGGAAACGAACAATAGGGGCTAGTGGGATCTGGCCCTAAGTGAGAAAGGCAGACGACGATACGGACTACAGCCAGGGGTAGGCACGGAACGAGGGAAAGCGGTGGATGCGGTCGCGGGGGAAGTTGTGGCGGGGGGGTACCGGTCGGGGACCAGGCCAAGCTAAGCAGAGCGGCGGGGCTGGGTTTGATGTGTGTGCGAGGGAGAACCGGTCGTAAGGAAAACGTGCATCACATCACACGACCCCCGCCGGAGGTTCCCGGACGGAGGGAGTGGGAGGAGGGTACAGCCTCTGGTCCCGCCAACCTGTCGGCGAAGTGTTGAATTCCGTGAAAGAAATCCGGTACGCGGCAGCCTTAATTGGCGCTACCGCCATCGAGCTGGTTTAGCGGGCTTTGTGCTGTTGCTGTGCGACGAGGGCATTCCCTTTCAGGCTTTCACACACACGTTTCAGGTCAGGACGGGGACGGTCCTTTCGGTGTGCACAGAGGCCGCTCAGGGGCTCAGGCGAGAGAGCCCAGTCGCAGAACCGCAGCTGCCTACGCAGTGATCGCCAGGGCGCCGACTTGTGTACCAGAACCCGCCATATCGTTCCAGCAGTGAAACGGCGGTGAAAGGTTGATTTGAAGCTGAGAGGATTTGGCGGCATTGGAGTCTTTTGGAGGTAGGTAATTGGAAAGAAGAAGCGCGGGAGGGTCGAGAGGAAGAGCAGCTAGCTGCAGCTGCTGCAGCAGCAGCAGCAGCAGTAGTCGTAATAGGAGGAGAGGAGGAGAGGAGGAGGAGGAGAAGGAGGGGGGGGCAATTGGCGAAGGTGTCTGGTCATTTGGGAGAGGGAGGGGGGGGGGGAGTTCCTGCGAGGAGGAGGGGAAAGAAATTACTCTGTCGTTGGGAGCGCTCACACAGTCTGGATTCTTTTTGTCGTTTGCTGGCACGTGCTCTTGGCGGGCTTCCGAGAATAGACTGAGAAATTGGGAGATGACAAGGGGACAGGGGGAGCTGTGATTGGTTGGTTGGTTGTTGGAGGAGGTGGAAAAAATTGGGCTCTTGGAATATGGGAAGATAACTGGGAAGCGCGGGTAGTTGCGGTGGTGGATGTGATGGAGGGTTAAGACAGGATCATGAGGCAGAATTACTGCGGTTGCTGCTGCTCGGTCAGGTGATGTGGACGACGGTTTAAGTGCAACTGACAGAGAGAGTGTAGAAAATGAAGGGGGCCAAGGCGGAGAGGACTGTGGCGAAAGCCAACGGAGTGGCTGGTCATGGAAATGTGAAGGTAGCGGCTATGGCGGCCGGAAGCGGGAATTCGACCGCGGCGAGCTCCCAGATAGATGGTCCAGCTGCTACTGCCTTGAACGCTGTTGTTAAGGCATCAGAGGTCAGCATGCGCGCCTTCCATCTTCACGAACTTACCCACTATCCATTCTCTGTGTGTGTGTGTGTGTGTGTGTGTGTGTGTGTGTGTGAGAGAGAGAGAGAGA